TTTTTTTTGAATTTTAAAAAAAAATTTTAAAATTTTTTTTTTTTTTTTAAAAAAAAAATTAAATAAAAAAAAAAAAAAAAAAAAAAAAAAAAAAAAAAGGCCAGGGATGTTGACTTACCCAAAAGCAGATTCAGCTCTTGTAGACAAAATGCTGACTCTGGGAAATGGGGTGGGACATAAATTAGTGATTAATAAATTATCTGCAAGTTTTTGCACATGGCCCAATGAAAGCATAAACATGTAAATTGTCAGTTGCATATTTAGTTCTCAAGTTTGGTGTAATCTCTTCAACAAGAACTACAAATAAACTGGCACTGTTTGCTGCACAAATTATAGCAGCGACTTTGGCTTTCCAGTGGATAGAGGTTTGTTTTGATACTAAGACATGAAAGTGTTCTGGAAATAAACTCTGAGATCAGTATGCAAAGAGAGCTAAGACTAAAGTGATAGTTCTCCAATGTTTTTATAACAAGTCCAACCTCAGTTCAGGTTTTCCATGTGCCCAAACCCTGACATTTTAAAACAAAACTCATGACTACATGAATTTTGTAGTCATGTAACTAACTATCTGTTATATTTTTAACGAAGAAGCCAACGTTTCAATTTGGAAATTCAGAGGTTTCTCATCTGGTTTAAAATCCAATATGGATTTTAAAGCCTAGTTAAAGTGTTGGGGTCAGGTTTACCCCAACACTCATCCAAACAATGCTTAAAAAATTCCTTTAAAAAATCTAAATTGAATTATTTTGACAATAAGACATGCTTGGTGTGAACCAAATGAAGCATTCCAAAAACAGAATCTCATACCAACTGTGGAGCATCGAGCTAGGATCATCATGGTTTGTTGATGCTTTGCTGCAGCATTAAGTGGCCAGAACACCATCATAGGACCCACTACGAGTTCTATCATGTTTTAAAGGTGCTGAATAAAATGTGAGATCATGTGTTTACCTGGAATTAGGTTTTTCTTTTTCATGAAAATAAACACAAGCTTAGATGTTGATACATTAACATTTCTTAATGAATTAATGAAATGGAGTATCATATTTTTCATGACAGCTTAGTGAAAGCTGCAAGAGAAATTGTAATTACATGGCACTATGCAACATTTGAACAAATCAGTTTGCTTAACCAACTTGTATTCTAGATTGAAACATGAGCACAATAAATAAAAAATGTATCTGGAACAGTGCAACTCATATAACAAAGGGAGAAATTTCCTCAAGATTTAGCAATCCCGCAGACAAAAGCACAAAAAATATTGTTCATTAAAATCAAAAGTTTGGTATTATGTATTGAAAAGCCAACTGTGTTATATCATGTTAACAGAAAAACTGGCCTTTAAGAGGTCTAAAGGCCTTAAAAAATTATTTTTGATTTTAGTTGAATAATTTCAAAACATCACAAGTATTAAATTTACTATTGGACTTTTAAAGAAAAAACTAGATTACTAGATTCTTTGTTAATGCTTTTTGTTTGTTAGTTGTTTTTCTTTTTTTTTCTTTTTTTTGCCTGGCTTGTATTTATTTAGTTAGCTAAAAAAAAAAAAAAAAAACAAAACAAAACAAAACAAAAAAAACAAAACAGGAAAAGATTAAAAGCCTGGTTCCATAATATATAAAGTACGTGTAGAATATCGTCGCATTTTCAACAAGGACCAGAAGATGGCGGCTTTGCACAATGTTGACAGCTTCGAACATACAAAGCCAAGAAGAAGACAGAGGAACCTGGTAGTTTCTAGAAATATATGTTTCCGGCCGACGGTATTTTGCCTTCGGACTTGTCGAAACCTTCGCGCTTAAACAACATAAATTTTTGGACAGCATTGGCTTTGTCCCATAAACTATAATGGCGCTCCCTGGTATGTATTTCATTTTTTCTGTTGTTTCTTGGTTACTATTATCGGAGTGATGTTAAACAAAGGCTTGGACAATAACATTACAATTAAAGTAGTGCTAACCGGATGATATCTCCGTATTAATATTAAATACCAAATAGTTAAGCAATTTATACCTGAGACCTTATTTTTCTTTTAAGCAGAAGATACTGTTTGATATTTGCATAGTTTTATGAATTAACAAATAGTACAATTTTAGCAGGGGTTTAGGGGTTCTAAGGCAAAAAGATTTTTTCTATCGTTTTACTGATCTACTACTATTGAAGGTCAGTCAATGGATGTGTTATAACAAATATATATCTTCATTATTTATGGTAAGCCCCACTGGTCTGTATTTAATTATTTAACTTTTTTGCTTTTGTTTTCTTTCAGGACCTAATAAGGACAACATCAGAGCTGGGTGTAAGAAATGTGGATATCGTAAGTAAAGCTTCACACCACAATTCAGAGAACAAGTTTTCTGTACTAATTATAATGCAGTTTTACTTCTAAAGAGGTTTTGTTCGTTGTGAAGTTGCAGTTAATTTGAATTGTGCAGGTTATGTTCACTTGATTGCCACTCTTGTTTAGAGGATTGGGAGAAGGCAAAGGAGAGATTTTGTTTTTGTTCTTTTGGAAGCAATACAAGTGTGAACAGTTTTTATTTTAGTCAGTGTCAATGAAAATATTAAGAGTTTTGTGGGGCTTCATCACGGTGGCTAATAATTCTGATCTCAACTGTAAATGTCACACTGAAGTTAGGTGTAACGCCATTCTGAGTTCTGATGCCTGTGGTTCCTTTATCCTAATGATCTCTTTTCACCTGTTTTGCAGCGGGCCATTTAACATTCGAGTGTCGAAATTTCGTCCGAGTCGACCCCCAGAAGGACATTGTTCTGGATGTAAGCAGCACCAGCAGCGAGGAGAGTGAAGACGACGTGCCTGCTTCTCAGCACAGTGAGAAATTGGGTCGAAGTGTGCTGCGCCAAAAAGGTCGGATTCCATGTCAAGCATTTTTCAAGTACAAATTCATATAGATAATTTTAAGAAAACTATGCAAATACATTTCACTGTTGCTGTCATCATTGCAAATTACATATTTATGTGTGTCTTGTGTGTTTGTTCATGAATCACAAACATGAAAACACAATTGAGCTCTAATGTGAAGTTTAGTTATTTATATTGCATCTGGAAAGTATTCACAGCCCTTCCCATCTTCCACTTTTTGCTATGTTACAACCATATTCAACTTTGTTCAGAACAGGAATTACAATGAGGCTTATATGTAAATGCTCGTAATAGTAAAATGTTCTTCTGAAATACATGTGCTCTGTTATTAAAATATTAACTGTTTTTTTCGAACACTGACCTTTTCTTTCTACAATGTTATGTTTCAGATTCTCATGATGAAGATGACAGAAAAAAGAGACGTAAACGAAAGAAGAGCAAAGACAGAAAATCAAGAAAAAGGTTAGTTTAAAAAACACATTTCAGCTTCAGCATAAAATCTTAACTTAAATGCTCTTGATCTGATGTGAGAAGAGTGCAGAAATATACACTGCTCAAAAAAATAAAGAGAACACTCAAATAACACATCCTAGATCTGAATGAATGAAATATTCTCATTGAATACTTTGTTCTGTACAAAGTTGAATGTGCTGACAACAAAATCACACAAAAATCATCAATGGAAATCAAATTTATTAACCAATGGAGGCCTGGATTTGGAGCCACACACAAAATTAAAGTGAAATGTTCCCTTTATTGTTTTGAGCAGTATATATTCATAATGACACTTTGTAAGGTTGAAGTACATACAGGTCCTGACCAATACCTAAAGCTGTCCATGTTCCTTTTGTCTAAATTATTATTATTTTTTTTAAATTTTCACTTAGATCTGCATCATCCAGTGACGACGAACCAAAAAAGAGAAAGAAACACAGCAGATCCAGCTCCTCGTCAGACGAGGAAGACAGGAGAAAGAAAAAGAAACAAAGTCACAAGAAGAAAAGCAAAAAACCCAAAAAGGAGCATGGGAAACATCACAAAAAGAAAGAGAGAAAAAGAAAACACAAGTCATCATCCTCTTCTTCATCAGCTAGTGAATCATCAGAAAGTGACTGAACCGCCAATCCGTAGCCTCAGGATGTCTGACGTTAATGAAGCAGATCATGTATATTGTGTCTTATGACTTTGATGTAAATAGTTTGAATCCCCTTTTTTTTTTTTTTTACAACGTGTGTCCATACACTGCTGCGTCTTTAGATGATGACATTATGACGCTGTTATCTGTTGGCGCTCTGCATTCTCAATAGCTGGTACAAGGCACACTACATGCTGTGTTAACGTTTTGCCTTCCTTTCGTCATTTGCTGTATTTATGCACAATAATTTGAATTTCATCAGATGTACTCCATCATATGTGCATTGGTTTTACATGTCATAAAGGAAGAGATTGTAACATTGTATTACTACACATAATTCAGGTTAATGGCTGTGCAGATTTTTGTTTAATCTCCTTTTATGTTTTTCATTCTGTATTAAAAGGTCAAATGTAAACTGAACTCCTCGAGTTTTATATTACAGTGACTTTGTGGCGACATGTTTCATGGTATAGATCAGGGTTGTCAAACTCAATTTCACCGAGGGTCACTTCAGCATATTGGCCCCCCTCAACGGGCCACATTGACGGTACAAATCAGGAGTGCATCCCTGCTAAAACACACCCCAGACAATAGGTTGACTTCCCTCATTCAGTTCTGTAGAGGCTTATAATGAGTCAATGGTCCAGGTGTGTTAGAGAAGGAATGCATCTAAAGCTGCAGATAGTAGCTCTGGGAAACTAGACTTGGGCAGCCCTAGCATAAATGTATCAAAATACAATGTTAAAAATAAATTAAGCACCACCTCATATTGTTAAATAACTGATTTTATGTATTGAAGTTTTAAATATTGCATTTGAGTTTCCATGGCCTATAAAATACTGGGGGTCCACATGTGGCCCCCGGGCCTTGAGTTTGACACATTTGCATTACGCCATTGAACTGCCAATTGGTAATTGAAGTAAAGTAGCTTCGATTTCAAAGAAGCCTACATTGAAGTCGATTGGCAAATCAAC